CATCTGGCTGCATTTCAATGATATTGGAGAAAGGAAAGCTGAGTGCATGATTTGTAAAATGAAAATAACCTTCAGAGCAGGGTTGTTTTTTTGGTAACCACTCAGGATTTATTGTCAGAGGTGGGAGAAGTTCAGATCTTGTACTTGAGTAAAAGTACCAGAGTGTAGGAATACTCGGTTACAATAAACAGTCCTGCATTCAAAATGTTACAAGTAAAAGTACAAAAGTATTAGCATCAAAATATAGTTAAAGTACCACCTGCAGAGGGATCTAGGTTCAGGTTTTTTTCCCCATGAGACCGCCTCGCTGCACATTATCCCTTGCATAAAGATAGATTGTGGGTCCCTTATAACATGTTGTACACAGTGGAAATAAACATTCTGGGTACCTTAACATCAGGGATCTTATCCATTAAACTCCTTCTGAATCAAACCGTCACGTAGCCTTACCTTACTGATCCCTCTTACAATAGAAGAAAACACGTTACTTTACCAGCAGAGAGAAAATGGATTATTAAATGATTAATGTGACTAATAAAGAGCAGTTTAATTATTAAGTATTATTCTGTTGATCGATGTCATTACATTTGTTGAAAAGCACATAAGGACTTGTTTAAGACTCGTTTTGTCAAAGTTTAGGACTTGGACTTGACTTGAACTTGCCCATCCTGACTTGAGACTTGACTCTGACTTGAGCGCAAAGACTTGAGACTTGACTCGGACTTGAGCGCAAAGACTTGAGACTTGACTCGGACTTGCAAAACAATGACTTGGTCCCACCTCTGGTTCTTACTGATGTCCAGTGGTTTCCAGCCAGTTGCTTCCTTTGCCTTTTCACTGCTGTCCAATTCATGCTAAACAAATCTGCGCTAGAATTACTTTAAGGAAGTTAGGGTCAAACATTGTCATTAATCTGCATTTATTTATTTTTCCATATTAATCACGTTAACGTTGTCATCCCTGAATAAAAGCAATTCAACTGCAAATTGTACACCTAATATATCCTCCACCCAATCACATAAGTTTGATTCCGGTTTAGAGACAGCTAGTTTTTGTATTGCCTGTGGTCTTGCTGAAAAACACAGAGCTTCTGGAATAATTTAGTGCCGTGAGCGGAGGTACAGTATGCAGTCTCTTATGCTGTGTTTACTGCCAAGTTTCACTGGATTCCCAAGAGATCAATCTCTCGCTGTGTCAATCAAACAAGCAGCAAGATGATACCGTCTTCCATGAATTTTGTTTTTTTGGATGAAGTTTGTGTTTCTGTAGGTGGTTGCTGCACAGGCTAACTACTCTGTTTGTCCTTTTCTGTAGTGATGGGAATTATGGCTCTTTGAAGGGAGCCGGATTTTATGGCTCCGTTCCTTTGCGAGAGCCGTTCAAAAGAGCCGTTTTTTTTTAAGGGTGCGGGGTTAATAGGTTTATCTTCGAAATATACCTTTTATAATTCAATCAAATGTAGCCCTGTTTTGACTAATGATTTATATGTGTACACATATATCACTTAAATTATTCAATACATCCTTTGTACTGAAGTATTCAAAAGTAAAAATTATATTTTTAATATAAATGCTGTGGCCAATTGTTTTCATTGCATTTACAGACCCTTGTAACTCTCAAAAACTCCTAAAAATAATCCTAAATAAATAACATAATGAAAATAAATATATTGCAATGCTCAAAACAGCAGCATCCAACAGTCTCTAATAGGGATGGGAACGATTAATCGAATATTCGAATATTCAAAATTATTATTATTTTAATTTTTTTTGGGAGGGGTGCCTAAGTTGATTACATATTATCAAATGGAATAATTCAATGTATACGACAGTGCCATAGCTAAGTGTGTTAGGTCTAAAGGTGTGTTTTGCTCCGCTCACCGGTCCCTCACAGCGGGCAGAGCTGCATGTGCTGATCTCTCTCTCGCGTCCGGTTATACTTCACTCGCGTCTATGTCCAAATCCATCAGATCTACCTAGTTCTAGCTAATGATATGGCTGCTGACCCTCCCTACACGCAGATCACGCAGACTCAAACCTCATCTTATGCCCAAGGGTGAGAGGGTCTTCTCTACAGCTGGCCTGATTGTGAATCGCCTCCGCACCCGCCTCTCCCCTGAGCATGTAGACATCAGTGACGTGCGGTGAGGTTCATGGCTGGTGAGGCACTGACTCACTGAGTCAGATTTACAAATATTATATTTTGACCTTAATCGAAATATTCGGTTATTTTCAAAAGCTTTTTTAGTCTGATGCTTGGATTCATTTTAAACAGACCGTTCAACAAAAGGATACCCAAAATCTAAATATTGGATTGTTCTTTCTTAGTAAGATCCCATTTTCATTACAAATGTGGTCTTACCTTGACTTGAAGATGAATAGAAGTCCATGCTATCCTTCTGGACAACAATCTCTATTACTTTTTTGTAAAAGTCCTCCTTATCTTCCTGTAGTTTCAAAAGTCTAGTTTGTTGTTTGCGTCTACCGTCTCTGCGTAGAATAACAGTAGCAACAAGAACCTGTGGGCTCACGTGCGCCCCCTTCAGTGCGGCAGAGGTTATGGCTGCCTCCCCTGGTGCTTTTTTCATTGCCGTTGATACCAGCGAGCCTAAATATGATATATACGTGAAATAAGTTATTTAGAGACTATGGATGGCGAGGATAAATGTAATAAAGGGATCTACAAACATTACATTGGTGACCTACAGTGAGATGGTAACAGGCATGCGCTTAGGGCCCGCTTTCCAGCCAGTTTCTGTGGGGTGACGCATTCTGAGGTGAGGCAGAGCTCATCTGTGCCTCACCTTAGCCCACAGTAAATGGCTTGAGCGCGCTCACAAAATAAGTGCCCGTGCTAAATTAGTGCCCGTGCTCCAGCAAGTTACTGTGGGCTTACGAGAGGCAGAGCTCGTCCCTGCCTCACTTCTCATCGCTCCCGTAGCGGAGCTCGGCAAATTTGCTGATTTTGACTATAAAAAGCGATTGGAATCATACATAAATCACACTTACAACACAGATCAGTGGAGACATTTTATTATTATTACTATTTAGTTTTTCTTTAGTTGTTTTTCCGTTACATTGGAGTATGACAGGTGAGGCTCTGCCTCCCCTGCCTCCCCTGACTGCACGTCGCTGGTAGACATACTCATATTCTTAAACAAGAATGAGTATTGAATAGCTGCATTCTGTGCATAGGCCCTGTTATAGGTCGTTGATCTCTGTTGTAATAGGGTTACGTTACCCTAACCCGTTATGTTGTTCGTGTATGATCCCTCTTTCATTTAAAAACCAAGTTATGTTTTAAGCATGAAAGCTGTAGGCCTATAGCTGTCAACTGTTCAAACTGTGATCACCAGTTCAATACATTTGACAAATTCGACTTGGTTTCTATACTTATTTGAACATGTATTTATTTACTTTTCAAAATTAAAAAAACATTTTTGTAATTTTTTTTCTCCCACATTTTCTTTTATTTATATAGGATATGTACATTTCGGTTAATCGGTTAACCGTTTTTTTGGGGGTCGAATATTCGAATATACATTTGCTTTCAAATTCCCATCCCTAGTCTCCAATCCTTAGATATTACATGTCACTGCATGCATGCACGGAGCACCCGTAGCGCGGAGATCATCATATCATTCTGTCTTATATTACATAACAAAACAAAAACGGCTTGTTCGCGGGCGCGAGCCGGCTCCCGTCGTTCACTTAAAAGAGCCGGCTCTTTGAGCCGACTCGTTCGCGACCGACACATCATTACTTTTCTGTTCATTTTCTTTATCTTTGCACCAATGAATTTCGTTCTAGGAGTGTTTGGTACTGCAAATGTAGAAGCTATCTGCTGTATCATTCAGCAGGTGCACAAAAAGTAGGCTACATGATGGAATCATTAAATTAACATCCCTTAATGAGTCTGTTTTCAAACAGCTGTACATGGGCAAATTATATTGCTGATGAAGACATTTCGAAACTGCACAGTACAGTACGCGAGCGCCCATTGTTGCTCTTACTTTTATTTCCGTCTCTCTCTTTCACTCTCCATTCCGCCTCCACAGTGATGCGTGTTGCATTAACGCTGAGGTGAGGAGTGGGAGGTAGAGGGCAAACTGAGAGGGCTACAAGAGGGATGGAGAGAGCCAGAGAAGAAACAAGTGTGTGGGAGAGTGAAATATGGATATGTGGGATAGATACAGTAGATAGATAGAGAGATAGATAGAGATAGATAGATGGATAGATAGATAGATAGATAGATAGATAGATATATAGATAGATAGATAGATAGATAGATAGATAGATAGATAGATAGATAGATAGATAGATAGATAGATAGATAGATAGATAGATAGATAGATGGATAGATAGATAGATAGATAGATAGATAGATGGATAGATGGATAGATGGATAGATGGATAGATAGATAGATAGATGGATAGATAGATAGATAGATAGAGATAGATAGATGGATAGATAGATAGATAGATAGATAGATAGATAGAGATAGATAGATGGATAGATATATAGATATATAGATAGATAGATAGATAGATAGATAGATAGATGGATAGATGGATAGATGGATAGATAGATAGATAGATAGATAGATAGATAGATAGAGATAGATAGATGGATAGATAGATAGATAGATAGATAGATAGATAGATAGATAGATAGATAGATAGATAGATAGATAGATAGATAGATAGATAGATAGATAGATAGATAGATATATAGATGTCGTTCTTTTTCTCCTTCGTTACCTCATTTCGAAAATGTCTGAAGGTGATGATTTCCCAAGTGAAACCACTCAGGTCAAACTAATTCTAGAAGGGAATGAGAGAAGATTACAGAGAGATGGGAAAGAGAGAAAGCAGCTGGAGAGAAGAAGTTGGTCTCTTTGCAGCTCCAAAGCTCTTAATGCCCCGAAGCTGTGTGGAGTGTAAATGGGAGGAGAGAGAGATAGATAGATAGAGGAAGAGAAGGAAAGATTGAGAGGCTGAATTGACAAGAAGAAAAGCTAGAAAGGGGAGAGAGAGTGAAAAGGAGAGGAGGAGGAGGAAGAGGAGGGTTTGCGTTGGTGTGTTGGTTGGCAGAGCGAGCGCTTGTCAGAAAAACCTTCCTCTGACAGAAGGCATGATTCACAGCGGAGAGAGAGGGAGAGGGGAGAGAAAGAGGGGGAGAGAGAGGGAGACGAGCGTCAGAAAAGACGAAAAACAGCAGAGATAAAGAGAGGGAGAGAGAGAAACAACAGAGGAAGAGATGCCGGTAAGAAACGGGGGACTGCTGATTTGAGGCAGAATGACAAGACCTTAACAGGATGGGACTGAGATCGACGCGCTGGATTGACTGATGCCTTTTAATGACTGTGACCATGTTGATAAGGTTCTGGCTTTTCTATCGATCGCAGGGAAAATAGAGCAGGTGGCAGCAGCAGTGATGAAAGAGAGAAAGAGGGAGGGAGGGAGAGAGGATGCTGAAGAATGAAGGGACACTGAAAAGATAGGCAAAGAGACAGAGAGACTAGGAATGATTCCCAACTATCAATAGACTCCTTTGACAGAGTTTAACTAATTTGCAAGGAAGGCATGACTAATACAGTCTAAATAGATACTTTTGATTCTCTAACATTACATTTAAAAGGATCAGTACAAATACTTTTGAGAGACTGCTGTGGAAACCTTTCCTAAGGTGTTTTTCGATATCTGAATCTTTTCTTCAGATAAGAAAAATAATTAGATTTTGAATGAGTGTATGACTTTTCACTTGTATTTAGCATTTCTAAACTGGTTCAAGTGTGATGAAATTATTCAGTGTTGTCCTGAGCTCCCTAAGTATGAGGTTGATGCCAAGCTTCAGTGGGTCACATTCTTTTTTCTCTGTAATGCTGGTAACTTCCTGCAAGCTAACGTTTAGCAAGTTATTATGCTATCGCAGACAATGCTAGAGTTAGCTGGCTAGCTGCTGTAGATAATCCAGTTTACTGTCAAGCCACATTTTTATATTTTCATATTATGGCATATTGGAAAATTCATCTTCAGATTTTTCATATTGAAGAATGGAACAGCTTTGAAGGAAATTATTGACGTCATCTTGACTTTATTTTTGGCTCCAAATGCTTGGTACAGGCTGTCGCTATTACATCTGACCAACTCCTTTTTGCTTGCGCTTTTTAACTATGGACAGTTCTCCCCCCTTTTAGATAGTCAGATCTGTTGGTGTGTTATATTATTTTAGATATAATGCTTACAAAATTGATCAAAGGGTTCGCCAACAAGGGCAGCATTAAGCTTGATGTCGAGCTCATCCTGAGAAGAAACATACATTTGAAGGTTATTTTTTGTTATCATTTACTACAAATGACTCTAAAGAGTTTTTCACCCTTTTGGTTTTGAAAACTGTATGTTTTTTTTAATGATATATTATAAATTGACTAAAGTGTTTGGTCATTCCTTGGGAGAAAATGAGAAAGTAATGTTATTGAAGGCTTTTAGCTTTTGTAGTCTTGCTGTAAGGAGCTATTCCAGAAAATTGAACAAAGAGATTAGATTACATTTTGCGTTTAGCCTGTACTTTGGAGAAAAACATATAGTTCTAAGTAAGAAATATTGAAGGATTGTACCCCTTGTTTTCTTAGCTATGAACCTATTTTCACTACTTACTTGTTGTCCTCCTGTATAACTTCCAAATGGACCAAAGGCATTATCTAAGTAGGACTCAGGACAAATGCTTAATGTTACGCCCATCTTTTGGGAAACATACATTTAAGGTTTTTTATCTTTTGTTTTCTTGCCTTTGAATTTACAACCCTTTAGGTTATGAAGAGTGCTGGACTAAAGCTACAGTTCCTAACTCAGCATTCAGCTTGTCCTTGGAAGAGGAGCACCAAGGATTTCAAAAAATATATATATTGACAGTTTTTGAGAGCTATGGTTTAGCTCCAAGACACAACAACTAAATGCCTTTTGAGAAAAACAAAAGTGTTCAACTGGCTAACTCCCTTCCCAAGCAAAGGGCTTCTCTTCTCAGCATTATTGGTAACTCAATGGTGGACCTCCTTGGGTTGGTGCTGTTTGACATTAGCGCATCATTTATCAGTAGGGGTTCTAATGTTCTATATGGTACGACCATTCTTAATGAACTGATGCTGTTATTATTGACGTAATATCTCTAATTTGATAAAGCTCAATTCAAGGACATTACAGAACTGTTTCAACAGGTAGAGTAGTACTTATTTGTATAAGTAAACTGTGATAGGCAGTTGTTGGAGTTCTTCTTTAATTGGGGATGCAAGAATATCAGTGATTGATACTAATGTCTTAATACTGAATATGTTAATATCCACTCACTTGACGTTTGTGGAGAGACTTTTCCAAGCTGTCTTTTGTTCAAATTTCTTTTTTGTTTTCTTTGTTTTTTACAGACAGACAGTGGTAATCAACACATACAGTCGGAATGAAAGAAGAAGCTCTGACTGGATTCATCATTTCTATCACTGTGCTCGGCCTTTCTGTCGCTTTGTGTCTGACAGAATAACGCTCCACTGGATAAAGACTTAATTGGATCCAAACCGACATCCAGAACAATAAACAACCAGAATAAATACAAATGTAGAAATGCTGGGAAAAGAGTGGGAGAGGAAATGAGCTAAGAACAGTAACCCTGTGGACATAATAACTGGACATCTTTTTTCAGTACTTTTCGTTTCGAAATCTGGTTGGGATATTTCAATTTGCGATAATGCTCTTTACATTGCTTTTATCACATTGAGCTTTGGACAAGCTTATTTTGTTGAACAGAAGGATTATGCTTGAGTATTTTACATTAAACGAAGCAAAAATTGGAATTGTATATTTCTATTTTTTTTTTTGTTGCCACGTTCCTCCCAAAGCTAGATGCCCTGCTTCCTGCACATTCTGATGTTTTTTAAGCAATTTTTTGGTGAATTAGTAAATCTGACAAATTCACAATTCACTCTTCAAACTTCTACCGTTCATCCCACCAACCCCTCCCACCGTCAGCAATCCGGCCAATCATGGGAAAGCCTCTAAGCCGTCCTGGGTGTTTCAGGAAGAGCTCCTGCTGCCTGGAAAAACATGGAGCTGGGGATGGGGGAGTGGGAGGGCGGGCTGCGACAGTGGACGGGGGTTATGGAGATGGCTATGTACCCCAAAGATCCATCTACGATACCATGTGCATCAATCAGCAGATTGACAGCCATCACCATCACTCTGGAGGATCCATAAGGAGAGACGGTGGAAATGAAGGGAGTTTTAGCTACTCTGCAAGTGGCTCTCTGAGGGTGAGCAGGTCTCCGGCTGACATGTTTGATTCCCAGCCCCGCTCTCTAACTCCCAACCCCTCATTTGTTCGGCGACTGGATGAAAGAGCCATCTTTGATTCATTGAAGCTCGGTGGTCAGGATGTCGATGGTGTCGGCTGCCATTCGCCAGGATGTTTCAACCGATCAGTTTCTCCTTCAATGTCATCTTTTTCAGCACCCGGAGTGTCCTCTTCCTCATCCAAAAAGCACCACCATCACCCCCACCATCACCATGGAGACAGTGCAAAGAGTAGAGATGGTCGACATTCCTGGAAAGTCATGACACCTCCAACACAGATGGAGTGTATGGAGTATACTACAACTGAGATGATGGACAGAGGAGGTGGGTATCTAAACCCAGGGCAATACCCTCCCCCTGGGGGCCAGTCCTCTTCTCTTACTTCCCCCCTAATTTCCCCCTTTTCCGGCTCACCTCTCTCCTCAGGTTACCATACTCCAGTTTTCTTCTCCCCTGCCAAACCTCGACCCAGTCAGTCTCAGAGTTTGCGATGTTCCCCTCCCCATGTCATCCAGCCGAGGCATTACTCGCAAACACAGAGCCTCAGAATGTCGCCACCCCTTGAGGTAAGACGATCCCCCTACCGCGCCCCGCTGGTCCAACTATCTGCTCATGACCTCGAGCAGGAAATGAGGGATCGAGGAGGAGGGTGGAGAAATGAGCGAGAAAGGGACTGGGAGCGGGAGAGAGAAAGGGAGATGGAGCGAGGGTGGGCCCAAAGAGAGTGGGAACGAGAGAGGGAGAGGGGGAGACTGGAGAGGGAGAGGGCAAGAGAAAGGGAGAGGAGGGAAACATCGTCATTTGGGACCTTCGGGTATGGTCGACCCGTACCTTTGCGTTCTGACAGAGACTCTGTGTTTTTAGAGCCTGACCAGGTTTTAGACACAACACCCCTGTTGCTTCCCCAGCCTTCACCTTCCCCTTCACCTTCCCCCAATGCCCCCAGAATGGGGACTGCCGCTGTGGGCAGAAATAGAGCTGGGTCAAAAGTTGGATCTGAAAGTATAGGTGGGGGTATGGTTTCAAAGTATGACAATGGGAGTGTGGGTTTGGTGTTAATTGACAGCAAATCTGGGTATGGGCCGAGGTTAGTAAATGAAGTTGGGAACATGTCAGAGGCCGAAATAAGGGCTGCAATAAAAGAACACCATAGAGCTGAAAGTTGGAACCAGCATGACCACGGATCCAGGGCTAGTGTTAAAAATGGGTCTGAAAAAAGAATGGGCTCCCAGGTGAAAACTAGACCAGGGGGACGGGATCTAGAAGGAAAGGTGCAGTCTGGGGTAGGGATCGAAAATATGGCTCCAACTGTGAACAAGGAGGGACACAAGGGAGGGATAAGGAGTGGAGAAATAAATGGAAGGGGTGGGGCTAAACAAGAACCTGTTGCTGAGTCGACACCATCTGAGAACAGGTTTGAGCCTCAAAATAATGTTGAGCTGGTAGCTGAACCTGGTACAGGGATGAAGCCAGAGATCGAGGCAGAGGTTGAGGTTAGAGCTATTTCGAGGCAAGTGGACAACTTGATTGGTAATGAAGCTGAGGGTGTAGCAACAGTTAATAGTGAGGTTGGTTCACCAGCAGAGCCCAGACTAGAAGCTGAAGTTAAACCAGAAGTTAAGATGGCCCCATCTGAGCCTGAGGCAGTACTACAGACTGGGGTTGGTAAGGAAACAGGGACTAAAAGTAACATAGAGACTGGGGTTGCTTGTCAAACCCAGAGCAGCAACGAGATTACAGATAAAGCCCAGATAAATGTTGTTGCTGGGGATAAAACGGAGAATGCTCCTGTAGAGCAAGATGAGAAAAAGCCCTTGGACATTGATAAAATTGAATCTAGCCATGTAGAGAAATGTTCCAGGTCCCGCAAGTCCAAATCCTCCAAATCAACATCTAGGACTCGACCTGGCACGGCAACAGGGATCCGTCCAGGCGTGGTCAGCCCTTGCCTAAGCAGAGGGTTTCCGGACCTTGAGCAAACAAGCCCTGCTGAGGGCATTGAGTCAACTTGGCCACGCCGAATTATTGTCAGAAAGAGGACTGTTCGGCAGGGTGGGGCACTCCACAATCTCCCTATTCTCCCCCCACTCCCCTCTGTCCTCTCAGCACTGGAGAAGAGGCATCCGCATGTTCACCTCCTCCCTCGTCCAGGACACTATTCAGAGAATCCGCTAACAACACTCATGAATGCTACAAGTATCGTGGGACGATGCTCACTTAAAGAGCCATCCCACCAAGATCCAGGACAGAGCGCCAGTTTGGTGGGCAGAGCTTCCCTGAAGGAGCAGAACTTGGAGCACTGGAGGGTCTGCAGAGAGCAAGAGGAACCCAAGAGGTCCAGAAGCAAGGAGAAACAAGCAGAGCTAAGCAAGGGTAAGACTGAGATCGAGGAGATGAAGGGAAAAGAAGAGAAGCGAGACAAGGAGAAGGGGGAAGAGAAAGACAAAAAGAAGGAGAAAGTGGGTAAGGAGAAAGAGAGGGTTCCTGTCAGTGTGGGGCTAGTAGAGGAAACCAAACGAGAAAAGTCAGAGAGAAGGGTTGAAGAGAAAGTGCCAGAAGATTGGAACATAAAGGAACGTGTGATAAAGGAACGTGTGAAAAAGGAAAGAGATATAGAAATAATTTGTCTAAAAAAGGAGGATAAGGGAATGGAGACTAAAGATGGAATACAAGGGCAGCATGGAAAAGAGTTCAAGCAGGTTGTGACAAAATCAAAGAAAGAAGAAAGTGAGGTAAAGGGAGGAGAAGAAGAAGGAGGCCCTTTGGGAGAGGAAGAAGGTTGGGACACTGTCCTGGACATGGTCAACACTTTGTGGGAGGATGGCTGGGAGAAAGGAGGAACGGGCGGAGGTGATGATACAGATTCATTTTCTGGCTCCCTTCCGCGTTGGCCTCTTCTTCGACCCCCGATGGGTTTTGGGGGCTCTCACCCCCCCTCCTCTGCAGCTTCGGAGCTCAGCCTGACTGAGTTGGAGCGGAGAGCCAGGGAGCTGGACTCTGACCTGGAGCACCTAGACCTGTCCCAACCACACAGGGACACCCAGGATGTATACCAACCACTGCTGGAGCCACAGAGGGAACGAGCTGACATGTACCAAACACACCCAGGGCCGCAGAGAGATAAAGCTGCTCTCATGACAGGTACACATCAGTAGGATTGTATGTGTTTGTTTTCTATCTTCCCATATTTGTGACCCGCTCTAGCAAAATCAGTCAGATGTCGCAACAGTGCATTGCGAGATAATTGTGTAAAATTATATAACTTGTGTAAAAAACTTGTGATTTGGTCATTTTGGAGATTTGGTTGATTCTAAACAAACAAAGTCTTGACTTTCAGAATCTCAAACATGTATTGTCATATTCAGACGATAAATACTGTACGTTTCTGAAGCTTAAAGGGGACCTATCATTCAAAATGCACTTTTTGATGTCTTTTATACATAAATATGTGTCCCCGGTGTGTCGGAAAAATAAAACCCTTTCTCTTTTCCTCCGTACCCACATGTTTTAAAAACGGGGGTACAACGAGCGGATACAGATTTGCTGCCGATATTACGTCATTTCGGATGGTGGACCCACAGAGAGTTGCTATCAGAAACAATGCCTGACGTGTTTTGGACGTAATATGGTATTTGTTTTGATTAGCAATCATCGCTAACACTCAGAGCTAACCTGTACTGGAGAGCACATGTGTTTAAAAAGCAGGAAATAAAAAAAGGAACAAAAATTATTTGAGCTCCATACTGTTTCAGATATAATCCTTGATGTGGTTTAGAACAGGATGGCGTTTTATCACAGCTGAATTTAACTTTATCTCCGGTAGAATTCTGATCAGGCATTAGCTCCGCCTCCTCTTTTTCAAGCTAAGGACCCAAAATCCGCGTTTCTCTAAACAGGGCTGGAATAGAGGGATATGAGGGATGTCTAAAGGCCCGGACACACCGGGTTGATTTCGTCCGTCGATAGATGTCTGGCCGTCGATGAGCGTCCTGTCGCCCTACTCAGATTGGTTTGTCCAGCACCGTCGTGTCTTTTCGGCCGTGCCGACACCTTCCGCTCCCGATTCAACATGTTATTAAGCAATAACTGTTGCTAAAAATATTGTCAGCAAACCTTTATTGGCCTTTTTCCAAATTGTGTTAACAGACATTATGTTATTCGAAATATTTTGCTCTATATTTTGAGAACAAACACAATAAGATATAATTGGAAAGCTAAGAATCTCCTCTTTCCAACGGTGTATATATTGCAAAATGTGTTTCAGGATCGATGTGACTGATTTTGATAGAACAGGTCATATTTGTTTTATTTAAGTACCTAAGTCTGTTGATTTTACTTGTAAAGGTCAGTTTATTTGTCATGTTTGACAGAAGATGGGGACTGGAGTTTTTATTTATTGTTCCATCAAGGGATATCAAGGTTTAAAGAGAAGTTTGGATTTTGGCTTATTTCATGTGTCTCCATTCTATTTGGATCTTTCCAACAAGTCCTCCAACTCATACGACCAAATAGGTCGATTGTTCAAGCCCTTATTACGACCAAATAGGTCATTTGTTCAAGCCCTTATTACGACCTATAATCACGTTTGAAAGTTTTCGCCCTCTAGTGCTCCCGTTGAATGCAAACGTTACAGATGGTCGTTTATTCACAAATAACCCTCTCTGTAAAATCCTAAATTGTAGGATAGTTTGGCCATTAAACTGCTTTTTGATTAGATTTCTAGCGAGAAGTGTATATTGTACTTTTAGAATCCACGTCCAGTCGATATGTAGGATCTATAGTTTGATAGATATTATGAAGATGATTTGAGGTCTCGCCAGGAGAACGTGTATATGCGGCAGCTTCCAAGTACAGTATTTCCGGTCTCGAAGTTTTCATAATACAACCAATGATCAAATTATTTAACAGTGATATCTGCAGTACTCATCCACTAAAAAACATCAGTTTATCCTTGTTAATTATACGACATGTTTTTGTGTTTTTCCCATAGGTTTTTCTCTTTCGATTCTGAGAGACACATTTCTAGACCACTGGTTTTTTAACCCGCACTGGCTAGTGGTTAAAGCACGTTATTGAATTTAGTTGTTGAATAAGTTATATTTGATGAAAACATTTAAATATTAAGAGTAGCCTACATACAAAATAGGGGGAAAGTAGAAGGTCAATGATAGAAATATAGAATAGAAAATATCAAGAAGATACTGTAGTGATCTCTACAATAAAACAGTTTAGTGCAGGACGTCCAAAGATATTAATAGGAGGATGTGCAAAACAGACAAACTAATAAGGCTTTATTTAAACATTAAAGAATACTTTAAGTTAAAGTGGACCTATCATGCTATGTTTAAATGATATATTGTAGGGCCATACCTATATAAGGTATATTTATACGTTTCTGTTTTCAAAATACCAAACAGATCATGCATTTTAGCCATGCCTCATTTCGCTCTATGTGCTGTTTGCTGTCTACGGGTCTGATTCTGCTGACCACGCCCCCCTGCAGGAGAGGGGAGACGTGCTCTGATCAGCTGCTGGGCTGTCAGAAGAGGGGGAGAAAAAGAGATCTCCGTCCTCCGTGTTTTATTATATAGAGTCGTTATTCATTTGTTTTAAAGCTCAATAAATAACAAAGAAGACCTTTGACCGGCACTTTTCTAATTTTGTCCGGAAGATTTAAACTTTAACGGACATCTTGACCGGCGAAAGTAACTGAAACTGAAACTCTGCCGCAGGGGACCTGCTCAATGCAATCCCTTCCCGTCGAGGCAAGCACTGTAATTCTCTCCGGTTAGTCCACCAGCAGATGACAAACACCCACCTCTCCGCCTCTTCCAAGGAACGAGGGGAACGAGGCAAGCGTTTGCAGCGGGAGCAAACGCTTGCCTCGGGGAGGGAGAAAAAAAGCCACAGCGGAGAATAAACAGAAGGGTAACCATGGTAACTATGGGCGGGAAGTCTTCTTCGCTGCTTTTGTGGCAGACTTACAGGCCTGGCATATGTACTACAGCGTCTCCAGCGCTTTCGAGCGGCAATGGCCGGCCGTGGCCCAACCCCACATTCCCCCGATAGATGGAGAGTTGGCCCAATAGCCGTAGCGCCACCGTCCTGACGTCAGGACAGTGTTCAAATCTGGATCAGTTTTTATCAGATCCGTTGCAGCCCCTTTTTTAGAGATTTGGGTATGGAGGAAAATAGAGAGGGTTGTGTTTTCTGACACTTGGTGAGTTCCCTGGAACACCGGGGACACATATTCATGTATAAAAGACGTACCAAAGTGCATTTTGCATGATAGGTCCCCTTTAAGGTCTTCTTTTGAATAAGAAAAAAACGTTGGGGGTATCAACAGATAAATATTAAGTCTGACAGTAGTACGTAAGTACTTAACGTCTAATATATTATATATAATGCTGCCCATTATGGAAGCAATTTTCACCCATTTATTAATTATATGTTTTAAATGTGATAACACCACTGTGTTTCGTATCCCCTAAACCTCCAGGGTGTACACAGTTTAATACTGGCAACTTCTAATTGTGGGAAATACGAAAACATCTTTTAAAACTACAATTCCCAGTAGAGGCTGGGCTGGACCCGTCCGAGTCCAGTTTTGGATAGTCTGCCGTGGTTCCATTACATTTCAAAGAGCTGTTTGACGCTCGGCGTAACCTTGTCGCACTGCCACTCCAACATCCAATCACAGAGCTTGAGGACTAATCACAGGGTTTGTAAAGCAAGGCGGATGTTGTAGTCCCAAACGATAGCTGGGGATTCTGGGTAGTGTAGTGTCTTCGGAAACTCTGGAGTGTCTAAACTCCGAAAAAACGATTTGTTTCTCCGAATCAAAGGTTAAAAATACAAAAGCATTGTACACAATTTAAACCAATCAATATTGTGTAATTAACAAGGATAAACTGATGTTTTTTTAGTGGATGAGTAATGCAGATATCACTGTGTAATAATTTAACAGTGAGGGGAATACTTCCGGTTTTATTATGAAAACTTCGAGACCGGAAATACTGTTTTCACCCCGTGAGGGTTGACGCTAACTTTACATGGAAGCTGCCGCATATACACGTTCTCCTGGCGAGACCTCAAATCATCTTCGTAATATCTATCAAACTATAGATCCTACACATCCACTGGATGTAGATTATAAAAGTACAATATACACTTCTCGCTAGAAATCTAATCAAAAAGCATTTTAATGGACAAACTATTCCACAATTTAGGATTTTCCAGAGAGGGTTATTTGTGAATAAACGACCCTCCGGAGCGTTTGCAATCAACGGGAACATGTTGTTTCTTACACGACCACTAGAGGTGCTACACTTTAAAACGTGACTCTGGGTCGTATTAAGCTGCTGAACAATCGACCTATTTGGTCGTTTTTTGTAGGAGGACAGGCTGATCTTTCTCACTTTCTCTCTGGATCTTTCTGTTGTAGCCTTTGGCTTTTTCTTATCTTAGCTCAAGCCAGTCTTCACTATAATTCCTATTTTAGGATTTGTTGGCTCAGGTACTATCACTGACACTATTTTTCTTTCACAAACCTGTGTCCTCCACTTTTCTTATCTCATCATAAGACGATGGGAAACTCTGATCTAATGGCTATGATAAAATATCCAAAATGTTGACTAATGATTGGGGAATGACCAGTGTCCTATTGATTATATCTTGCTAATATCTCCCTCTTCTCATGTTTAATTGTGTTTAAATCTGTGTTCCACTTCCCAGGCACAGGGAGCAGATCCCATATCAGTTTGGAGCTCACTGCTATGGCTTCACCAACTACAGACACAGAAAGACCTTCTGACTGGTCAACTAAACCTGCTGGGACTTCCACTGTTGGTACAAGGTAATTCCACAAAAACGTTTATTGTCAGCATTGAAAACCTTATCTACCAGATGTTTGCTTATAATCTGAAAAACCAGATTTGAATTTAGTCAAGACAAACTAACGATCAGATTAAAGTCACTCTGGTGTGTTTATAAATGCACTTGGCTATTTGCTCTTCAGTTCAATTCAATGTATCAGTATAACACATGTATTACTTTGATTGGGATATTTAAATAATGTTTATGTTACATGTAGAACTTTGTGTGTCTGATCATTTGAAATCTGATTTAAGCCTTTTTAACTATGTACAGAGCAATGTAAAACATCAGCATCCAATGTTGACCTGCAGCTGTGTACTATGCAGTGCTAATAGTCTTGTTGCTTTTTACATTTAAGTAAATGCAAATGAAATGCAACAAATGTCTGAAGGGCGAGGATGATAAAAATAAACGGATTTGTAGTGGCCCAACACTTGAGCCTTTAGGTACATCCCACATAATCAGTAAATCTGAACAGTCACAGTGAGTGAATCAGACAAGAAAGATGGTAAACAAATAAATAAGTCAGTGCTGAAGAAGAAGATAGATTCCTCAATCCCACATATAACAAAGCATAAACAGTAGTAAATGTTGTGTGCCATGCCTACGGAGCAATTTCGGGTTCAGAATCTTGCCCAAGGCCACTTCAACCTACAGGTAGTTTAGCATGAAAACAGACAGGATTCATATAAAGATAATAAAGGCATCCAGTGCACATCATTTGCGACCAATTAAGTAGATTTCATATCTAAAGTGTGCTATCTGAATCTGTCTTTCGCAGATCTTTGTAACAATCAACTTGTCATTAAAAAAAGTGCTCTGTGGGGCAAATAAATATTCATAGTCTTGATCCCAAAAAGTTGATGGATTCAGTGGTAACCAATGGTAAAGAAAGATAATTATTAGTCACAGGAGGCACAACAGGAAGTAGCAGTTTTTGACTACCATGTTTTTTTTCCAGCTCCACTAAGGAGGACAGCTCTCCAGACTCCAACCTGACACTGGAGTCCGACTCCAGCGGCGTCTTCCTCTCCTTATCCAATCAGAGCCAGGAGGAGGCCGGCTCTGACAGCGACCAGCCAATCAGTGGCTCTGACCTAGGCAGCAGCAGCACGTCACTGGAAAAGGACGGGGAGGACGGAGGGTCAAAGGAATGGGGGAGGGAGGAGAGTGCAGAGCTACAGTGGTGCTACCCTACAGTATTCAATACAACCTTGCAAGAAGACATAGAAGGAGATAGGGACCAAGAGGAAGCTGGGCATGGAAATATGGGGACATATGAAAGGGGAGGGAAAGATGAAAATGTAAGAAGGGTTGGTAGGATAGGCACGGTTTCAATCATGAAGACCCATCTCAACTATACAGACAACGAGGGCTCCACGACTTTTATGGCCCCACAAAGTGAAGAAATACCGCCCAGGAAAAGAGTGACCCTCATGGGAGGTGACATTCCTCTTCCTCTGTCTCCCTTAAAACAACCAATCAAAACCTTTCTAGATCCAAATCAGATGCCAATAAGAAGCTCAGGACTGGACTGTGGTGACATAGATCCCTTTGTTCAATCGGACAGCTTTGTTTACCTCGCTGTGTCTGCAAAACCCGCCTCCCAGGGGGAAGTCGCCACAAAGACAGAAGTTCCCACCCATGGTATAAAACAAGGCAGTGTACAAAAGCGTTCAAATAGCGTGAAAACACACTTTGACCAGTCAAATACAGAATGGCGGGCCAAGCCAACTCATCTTGGTCCACAAAAACCAGAGGAAGGAGACTTTCTGTGTACTGACAGCTTTGTGTACCTGGCTGCTCCGGCCTGCCACCTACTGGGCCCCACAGGAACTGCACCCTACAGCGGCAGGTATGTGTACTTTTTGTTCACTGTATCCCTGCATTCCATCGTTCATAGTTCAGTGGGGACCGACAACTAAGCATTAAAATGCAATACCTTTATTCATGTTCTGGTCCACTTTACCTGGTCCTGTTTGTAATTTAACATAGATGTAAAAAGAGAACTGGAAACAGAATTTGAGGCGAGGCCACGTTCATTCCTATGAAAGTTGCTCAGTGGCCCATGAAGCAAAAATTGCCTGAATGTCGAGGACTAAAGTACCCAGATCATTTCAGGGATCTTCGGGCAATCCTCCGCATCCATTGGGTCCATGGATGAACAGTTTTCATTAAATCCTGCCTCCAATTCCCTCCGTCACAATAGCGTCACTTCTGGGGCCTCATTCATAACGCCTACGTTGCTTACGTAGTACAAAGCAAAAAAATAGGTACAGAAATGTTCCGACATTTTCCGATTCACAAAACATTGCGTACCGGCGAGGGAAGTGCGTACAGCACTTCCTACGCCTGTTTCCCTTTATAAATCACAATCGACTCGAAATGCGGCGCAGCTTTTGCGGGCTTCACGTAACGCCCATATTTGCCTATAAATAGTCAAAGAAACGCCCATTCATTCATTCATTCTGACTGACTGCATGAAGAAGATCGCAGGAAATTACGACCGAACAGCTAAAAAAGACATCTCACACCGTGTCAGATTCAGGTTATTTTGGGGAGGTCGAGATAAATCACATTGTTTGGTGGATGCAGTTTGAACCAGAGTAGCAGCATGGAGGTCGGATCATCACCAAAATAAATAAATAAGTGGTCCGAAAAAAGTTAATGACAAAAAGAAATACACATAACCTTCCTCAGGCAGTGTGTTTGTACCGGGGACAGGAGACACCCCCTTGATGAGAAACTGTAAGAAATGATCGGGGAATCCCTCCGGAGTGGAGTCATGACGACTGGATCTGAATTATTTTGTTGTATTTGGTGGTTTGTGTTCCAGCTGTCGATCAGCAACTATATATCCATAATCCACCAGTTAAAGGAAATACAATGTGTTGTGTTATATTAGCTGTACAATTTACCACGGTGTTCTTAGTTTCCATACCTGCTGTGTTTTACGAGCGACTTATCAAGTCTTGGCAAACGGCATAAAACACGATTAAACGTGATAGTATATAAAACCATGCTCGTATCTACAACCTATAGAAATGCAAAACGGCGTCAGTTTAGACGTAATTCTGTCCTCTGCTTACCGCATCATTTATGAGAAAACATTTCATAACATTAACACAACATATTCGAGGTGGTTTTAAATAACATATCCGTATTTATTTATTTATCCAAGTTATGTTTTTGTGTGCACTGAGGAGTCTCAAACAGGCGTTTGTTTAATCATTTAAAGATTGGCTTTAATCAATGTTTGAAAATGAATTCTTCATATGATAAATGAGAGGTAACATTTTATTTATTTCCACATATTTCTCTCCATTCTTCCTTCTGCCAACGGTGTCGCAGTTTCTCGTCTCTCCCGTTGTTGTGCTTAGTGCGTACGTATGGGTTAGAGTTTGCGTGGAGGACAGCACATTTTCCCGTCAAGTTAGTATTTTATAAATCGCAAACATTACGTAGAAACTGGGGTACGCCATTTTTTGAGCGTATATCCCTTTATAAATGAGGCCCCAGGTCTCGGCTCAATCAAATAAATCGAGAGGGAAGATACCTCAGTCAGATTTTGGTGCATTTTAAAACGTTAAGGACCTAATGATTTAAATAATGGCTACTTGAGAGTTTGACGTATTTTTCCCAATGCAAGTAAATGTGAATAGGACTTTTAAGGCTTCACGTGATTGGCATCACATGACTGAAACGGTAGTCATTTTACCACTATTTGGCCACACTACTAAAATGTGCTTCAGCAAACGGCGCACTTTCTGTGAGCTTGATTCGTTGTGGCAGTTGACTAGGTAAGGTAGCCCAGGCGTCTTCCCCCCAGCCATGTCTTCTAGCTCTCTGAAGAATACCAAGAAATTCTAGCTCAGATAGGGTACGTGATCCCGTCAGAGTGTTCTGGGTTATCCGCAGGGTGTTCTTCCAGCTAGATGTTCCTTGAATACCTAATACCATCATCATGACAGCAGCCAATTTACTGCTAATACAATCCACCTCTCAATCTTGGATTCCATTTCCACTCTGGGAATACAAGGTTTAGTTCCTTGTCTGCTAGGATTTTAACTACCACTTCTGGAATACTTTTTTGCACATCAAAATAAGGGTTAGGCATGTGAAATCCAAGTGTCCCATGTCAACAAAAGACATTGAGTTTGGAGGTTGAGGATGTCCTTGAGAATGTTCATGAGGCCCTAGTGAACATTAGTGCAAACTTTCACACATCTCAGGAAGGAGAGACAGGATTTATCCCAGGGAAGAGAACTGCTGATTCCTTTGGAATCCAATTTCCATACAAAAGCATGTTTTTGTCAACAACCATCATTTATCTCATTTCCACTTCAAACTCATGGAGTATTTTAATTGAAATGTGTGTTTTCCCCTCCCCCTGTGTTTAACATAGAGCTCTAATAATGAAGCTTTCTTTTTTAAATAACGATTCCTAGTGACAAAGTTCACCAATTGGCGATAGGCTGTAGATGCCATTAGCACTTTGATTACTACAATTCCATATGATTTTACTCAGATTGTGCCTGTTGTGTTTTCTTCAGGGAGTCCGACTCGGAGAGTTCAGGATCTGGCCCTGGTGACATGTCAGTTCTGGGTTGTGGCTCGGTGGCAGGGGACAGTGACTGGGACTCAGACCTGTCTGATTCCGATCCCAGTCGCCCCCCCAGGATCTCTTCTGCTGGAAACAGAGCTGCCGGCGCATCACGATCAAAGCTGCACGCTGAACCGGGCTGGGACTTATTCGGAGATACCACAGAGCCTGAAGTGCTGAGTGAGCTTTTCACGGAACAGGATAAAAACAACAATGGTAAAGCAAGGAAGGTTACCGGGGTAACCAGCAGCCTGGAAGATTCAACGGCCATTCCCATGGCAACTCAGCGTGTCACTTCGCCAGTGAAACGGTCGACAACAGTGGAGCAGGCGTCAACAAAGGTGACATGGCAGTTTAGACCTGCCCAGAGGTCAGTCTGCACAGGAAGTAGAAAGGAGAAAGAGAAGGAAATGACGTCATCGTCATCAGTAAGGTTCACGGAACTGAGAGGAGAAGAGACCCATAGAGGCTCCCCTTCATCTTCATCGTCTTCATCATCGTCATCATCTTCTGGTTGATTTGTAAAGGAAAATGATTTTTTACCACCACTTGGGAAGAGCTTTTTTTGCCTGAAGCTCAGTGTGTTGCCAAAAGATAGAAAAGGTCTTTCATTTGTTCTGTTGAAACCGACAGATGACAGAATTTCTGTACAGATTTATTTGCCTGTAATTTGTTTTTAATTGTGCTTCTAGTTGCTGCCATTGCCTTCTAATGACTTACTAAAGGCTGCTTAAAAGACTAGTTAATTGTTGCATTTTCTAATGTTGACAGTCCTTCACAATATCATTATAATCTGTTCAAGTTTAAAGCGATGTGAGATTCTGAACTTCAGGTTGAGATAATGAGGGAAAATGGCCACTGATAGAACCCTTATGTAATTTAAGCACAATGTTTATTCGAATGGATTTGATCAGAAATCTAAAAATGTTGATTTAGAAGTTACATGTACACATTATTCTCAAATCTAAATAAGACATATATATAGTTCTGTGGGGGTTTATTCTGGTGAATGTATGTATTGTGTAAAACACAATTCACATATGAGGCGTTCTCATGATGTTGCTTGGTCGCAATAACACAAACGCTTACAGTTGGACAAAATAACTTCTGCCAGACCATACCCTTCTGTTATCTTTTTTATAAAGATTTAACTATATAAACGTGTCTCAGGCCTTATATTAAATGATATCTTCTTCCCTATGTAATGCCTAACTTTAACACCTGCTTATACTTCATATAATATTTAAAAAACGGACTTTTAAAAACTGTCAAAGGTCAAACTTTTCAATGTACAATGTATTTTATAATCACATCCAACTTTAACAACAGTGTATTTAACAGTGTGTTCATAATATATTTTGAAAGAAAATTATAGAGTGAAATATAGAGTGATCAAATATACATATATATACAGTATATGATGAATGTGCAACAAATAATGGAAGGATTTAGTGATAACATTTAATTTAAATGTTTTATTTATCAATTAGGTTAAAAATGGTGAATGTAATATTTGAGCAATATGCTTATGGATTCATGCTATATTATATGTTTCATATGTGGAAAGTGTTGTGCATAAAAATGGCTGAGTTTGATTTAATGTATACCGCCAACTACTGCAGTATTACACTTAAGTAGAGGTTCTATGTGGAACACTTTCAAACATCAATTTATTATCAGGTATCTTGGTATAATTTCCATAAACAATGGAACAAGGTAGAGATGATTGATAGCATTTGCTTCACACCGGTGGTATTTTTTATTGCGAGTGACTTTATCCCCCATAATCCTCTTTGCTTCTCCCACACCTCCAAGACATCTTTAGCTTTGTGGAATTGGATAAACATAATTGTTTCCCTTTTATTCCCATCAATCCTTTGTCTATGGTTGTGCTGCAAATGAAGCAATCCAGAAGAGTTTCCCACAATTCTATGTTGCTGTAAACTGCAGTGTGGAGACGGATTAAGCTGCCAATAGGCACTGATGTTAAAGGTTCACTTGAATACGTTTCAACCCTAACCCTTGCTCTTGTCTCTACGTGACTAATGGGGACAACATATTTTAGTCTAGTATTGAGCCAGAGCGCTGTAATGTAATTGCTCTGGGTAATCACGCTCAATTAAAATGTTCTTTTGACCTTTTGTCCGAAAAGGTCTGTTTGTTATTGTGTCTAACATGGTCTCATCCAAGAGGAAGTCTCCTTCTGAAATCTTACCACAGAGCTGTCTTTAGTCTGGTAGAAAACAGTAGAAATGTGAGTGAGTCATAGAGAGGAGAGCTGGGAGGGGTCTGTTCTGTTGGAGTGAGGGCTGTACCATACGGAGAAAATATCACAATATATTTATATAATGATATACTTGAAATGACCATCTCTAATGTGGATTTAATCACCAAGGGCCTACGTCTTCATAGCATCTTTGTCTGAGCACCTGTGTCCTTTTCTTCTGTGCTTGGAATAGAGATCGGCTGGCGGACACTAAATGTTGCTGCCAGTGAGTGTTTGACTTTTATTGCCGTATGTCCATAGCTCCTTGCTCTACGGCTGTCAGACTGAGCACTGAAGCTTATTCATACAAAGTTTTAGAGTAAGATTCTCTCGAGTAGTGTTCATGGTGAAAAAATAGAAGTCAAACCAATATATAGCTTCTTAAAAACCAGAAGAGACAACACTTTACGATATTAGCTCTATATCAATATAGCCGACATATATATATATATATATATATCAGATTTACCTTTATCTTAAACAACACATACAGTGTCAAAGACAAAAAAAACAGGTGTGCAGGTTGTCCATTTATTTGTACCCCCCCCCTTACAGGTACCGATCATTTCAAGTCAGACAAAAAAGCTTTTATTCTTCTGTTAGATCCTTTTCTCTGTAGGTGATGTTGTTGGATACTTATAATAACAATGAAACTGTGTTGGTGGCCGAAAAACAAGCACTTGTATCAGACATACATTGATGGTAGTATATATGTTGCGTAATTGCATAGAAGCCTGTTTGGCAGCTACCTGCTGCAGCGCAAATGACCAATAATAGCCACTTAACTAACTAAACTTAGACTTGTGAAAGAATCTTAAAAGTAACCCTTTAAAATGACACACGTATACACCTTTAAAAAACCAGCACAGTGATATCAGATGTATCATCCTATTATAAATGCCATATAGGGAACGCGGTAGGTTGACAAACTTTCATCAATAAAAATCCGTGTTACAATGGTATATGGTTATGAAAGACTGCGGGGGAAGTTTTGACCTGGCACAAATGGATTCCTTAGCATGAATAGTCGTGCCATTTAGTCGTGCTCATGAATTTCAAATTGGTCAGTGAAGGTTACTGATAATTCCGAGTTGAGTAAATGTGTCTTTTTGTGTGTTTGTGTTGAGAGTGAATGTATTGTGGGGATACTGCAGCCATATTTCTTGATTGTGATTGATGGGCGGGGGTGGGTTTTTTTTGTCTTGTTTTTTTTCCGCAAATTAAGAAGTATTGCCTTGTGTAGCTTAAACTGCCATTATGAACCTTGAAATGCTCTGCCAGTCCTTACGGCCCGTCCACACAGCGGCTTTGGAAAAAGCTTGCCGGCGGGCGTGTCTGAAGCTCGACCAACAACAAATCACATGAATCTCCCGCCCCTGAGACACAAGCAGCGGTTTGATTGGCAAGAGCTTGTACTGGCATATGATTTGATTGGCTGAGGCTTACACCGAAAGCTTCAGAAGCTTCAAAAGTTGAACATTGCTCAACTTTTGAAGCCTGAGATGCCTGGAAAGCTCCGCTCTGCTTCCCACAATGCAGTTCGGCGAAAAGTGAGGCAAAGTGACGTCACCCCATTCAAAGTGAATGGGCAGAAGCGTTGGAAGATTTTTTTAATGCTGCTGTGTGGACGTACCGTTATTCTTGATGGTGATGCTCTGTGTAAACCAATTGGATTTGGTGGAGCCCTACATGTCTGCTTTAGTGATGGATTCATTATATATATTATTTGATATCATCTGGTGCTTTTGAGCACAGATTGACAAGCACATCCATGGATGAATAACATGCTTTTATTAGCATGCAACGTATTTTTAAAGTTGCAAGATTGACAGGTTTTCTTAAGAAGTGTTAACCAGTTCTGTACTCATGACTGATGCAGGTTTAAAATGACTACAGCCTCTGACCATTGTAACTTTTTTTTTAAGGCTTTTAAACTACATTTGTTAATATTCTTATAAAATCCAATAGCACCCCAACATCCTGTTGAAAGTCAGCGGTTTTAAAACACGAAAAGTGAGCTGTAATAAGCTCCCATTGCAGGAGAAACCAAGCAGTACTCCTGTGCTTTTCTTTATTTCATGTGTGTCCATTTGTGGTTATTTGATTAAACACACGTGTGCAGGAATGTGTAAATAAGTCAATTGTTAATGGTTCTGGTATAAAATAAATAAATACCGTAATCATTTCGATATGATGATTTTGGATCAGGAATAAGCTAATAAAGCAGGATCTACTTAATTCGATATTATACTTAAGTGGTGCCAACAAATGCGTTTTAATCAAATTACTAAATACTTTTGACATACATTGAGTCATGTGCTAACTTTGTTGGTAATTCAGCCTTGTATTTTGGGATCTCCGATGGCAATATTAAAATTGAGGAATGTATCTTGTAGAAACAAGCCAGAACAAGAATCTCATATATTGTGCTTTTCATACAGGAAAGATTGCATTGGAATAAGACTGTATGAGCCAGTATTCCCCTGCAGGCCCTTCAGTTGGGCCCCAGGCAGTTTCTTGGTGATTTCCTGCCAGCTCCAGCATCTTGATACAGTCATGTATGTGGATCTGTGCTGTTTATTTGATGAAGAAATGGGGCTGAGCATTTATAAAAACGACCTTTACAGGTTTGATAATCCACACTGCTTATAGCGTCTGGCTGAAAATTCATTCGGAAAAGGCTGTTTATATGAAATGTAACCTGTGTTCTCTATTACGCTGTCTCTATGCTGTGTAGCACAACCTGGTTTCTATTGGGAAAACTGCTTTTTCTAACCCTGCTGCTTTACATGTCTGATGGAAGGAATGTTTGTCTTAGTAACTAGACTTCAGAGCTCACACATTGGACCAAATGAGAGGAGGAGCCAGATAGTTGTACACAATTCAATAAAATAATCTTTGATTTTCGCTAGCATTAAACTGTGGCAAGTCATCTAGTTTCACTGTGAAATATTAAGGGTAAATTACCATCACTGACTTTTGTAAAATTCAGTATAATCAGGCCATACGTGTAATACTTTGCTCTTCATGTAAACGCTGATCACTGTTAAAGCTTAGTGGTGATGAATAAGTGAAGACTTTTAAGGGGATAAGGTGGATTTATGTGAAATCTAATTGTTTGCCATATTGCCAAGCCTTGTTGAAATGCATTAATGTACAAATAAAGATTAAACTCGATGGTGGAATGTGACTCACTTTGGCCTGTGTCATCTGTCTTAACCTTGGTTGTTCACTGCTATGCCACCCTATTAGGGATATACATCCATCTTAAAGAACTGAGAGAAAATAAAAGGGAAATGCATAAAGCTGCATTAGTTATCAACAATGGACTAAATGAATGAACTCTGCAATCCGCCCCCATGTTTTAGTGGTTTTTACATTATTTTGATGATTAGTCCAAACCTTTCTTGTCTCCATGTAAAAACCTGTATCACACCCACTTTACATTGTCCAGAAACAAATTTGCAATGAGCAGATGAACATAGTGGAGCAATGAATAGTTTGAGAGCCATACATTATCTCAGGAGTTGGGGGAGACCAAAACAGCTAAAAGGAGAGCGAATATGGACGTCAAATCAGTCAAATGGCCAAAACTTCAAATATGTCAATCTTGTCTTTGCTATTGTTCTGCTGCCTTCAAATGGCCATCAAAAGTAAACACTTACATTTGATTTGACAATTAAAGGACCATTATTTGTATTGGTAATAGTAACATTGCACTTGGCAAGTGAATTGCTTTGAACTGGTAAAATCGATACATATAACACAAAGCTTGTTGTACATTTGCTGAGTCTTAGTTTTACCTCCAAATAACGATTTATTTGTATATATCATGCTGGTAATTATTTTCCTGTTTGACTTTGTGTAGCAACGTCATATATTTTCCCAGGTCTCAGGAACAGCTTATGTGAGTTTGTTATAAAAACGTAAGAAATGATGGCAAAACTGAGTGTAAACCCAAAGTTGTAATTAATTGGAATGTATCCTAGATAAATGAATCCGAAATCCTGCTTTTCATTTGTAAACTTAAACTCCAATGTAAAGATGAACTGCCAAACAAATATAGAATATCTTCTTTTGAAGGTACTGTGATTTCAAAAACTCAACTGTTACAATAATTCTATAACTATAATTACAGTCTTTTATAAGACACAAACACACATACCACACACAGCCTTTTGGTGCCATCTGTGTATTAAATAGTACATGGTGCACGAGTAGTTGTGTCAGTAATCTAGGTCTGTCCATCTATTTAAGGCTGATTAATTAGAGCATCTGAATAAGGCCAGAGAGGGAGAAAGAGAGGGAGAGACACACTGCCAGTATGAATAGTTAATCTATGTGCCACTTCCCCTGCCACCACAGGGATTGTGGTGATTTATTGGGCCAGATCACACAGTCTGTTTGTCTGCAAAAATATGCGTCCAGATTTACTGAAATTCTTGAACTAATTTGAACTAACTTTTAAGGATGAGTGCACTCTGTGTAACACAATATGTCTGCTGGGAAGAAGCTTGATTTAATTGCTTTTGTCATTGTGTGTGCCATAAAGCATACAAGCTGTATTGTATACTATAACAATATTTGCATACCCCAACATCCCTATGGGAAATATGAACAGGCCTTTTTTTAATTTATTATTGGGGACCAAGCCCCAGTAGACTGAGCTATAGGGCGTCCCGGACCGGCTATTCTTCATTATTTAACGTTTTTTATATATTTCAAATTCAGGTTTATCCAATTTAATAATTTCTCTTTGTTCCATTTTCACCTCTTCCCAAGCTTGAAAAGTTGCTGGTGTTCAGTTTGTTGCAATATGCAACCTCCCTCTAGTTGCCACCAAATCCTACAAACTATCCCTTTAATGGAAGCCCAGGAAGATGACTGGATCTGGTCTTTACCACACATGTTTTCTAGAAATATTTAATCAGCAGCAAAAATGTTCAGTTGGGTTTTAGGCTTCTTGTTTTTCTTCCAAAACTCAACACTGCCTGGAGATCTTTTTAAACAGTAATTGGCTATCGGTGGGGAGATGTGAAAGTGGGCAAAGTTGAATTCCCATTTTTAAATTCATTTCATCAAGACTAGAAAGAGATGCAGGACTCTTTTAAGATTATAAGTGCGTCATCCAGGGTACTCTTAGCATTCTTACTTAGCATTTCAACACCTAAGCATTCAAGTGACTGAAACACAGCTAATGCTTAAGTTGCACTGTAATGGCGCATTTCCACTACACAGCCTCGCTCGGCCTCGCTCGGTATGGCTAGGCCTCGTTAGGACTGGCTCACTTTATGGCGCATTTCCATTACAGTTTAGGAACTGGGGTAGTATCTATAGTAACGCAGTGTAGGCGGAGCCGTGACGTCATCTTCAATGAGAACCCCAGAAAAACAACACAGCCGTTAGCTGTTAGCACTCAGAGCTCACAACTCCTCATATCTGTTCAGAAACTAGACAAAAGTTAAACAAGTACAAACCACAGACTGTCTGTGTCATGGCGAATACAGTCGCTGGTTTATTTATGTCTGTATAGGCCGTTGTTGTGAGTGTGGATGGTCGGAGAATATACTGCGTTAGCTTAGCCAATCTCCATTTAGAAAACACGCATTTTAAAAGGTTTTTCGCCTGCCGTCTGTCTGCAGACTTGTCAAAGCATTAATTCATGGTTTTTACTAACCGGTATCAGTATGTTGTTACTTCGGCATCATTTTGAAACGTGTATTACAATTAAATCACGGTAAAATATGTTCATCTTGTTGTAGTTGTAGCCCCCTTGCCAGCGATTCTCTCTCTAGTTTAGCATACTCAGCCCGACTCAGCCTGGTTGTTCCTGGCCCTAGAACCACGATTTTATGGGGCCAGAAAAACTGTGAATTAGGACCCGCTAGCCAGTACTAGGCCAAGTGGAAACGCAACCAAAGACGGGCCGCTGACGTCACAGCTCTCTTAAACGGGGCTCCGCGCTGCAGTGGAAACGCGCCATTACTGATCTCAGTGCATTTGCATTTGACTCGTCCTACCACAAAATTATTTTCTGACACAGAACTAGATTGGTTTGAATCCATCCTAAAGAGAGGAAAAACGTTGTTTCTACAGGTAATTACACATTACACAAATATGACATGCGGAGTACTTCAAGGCTCCATCCTGGGACCTCTTCATCTATATGTTTTTATCTGGCTCAGATTATGGAAAATAACAACATATTTGGCATATGCCGTAGACACACACGTTTAAATAACAACTAATTTCATTAGGTGACTATGATCAAATTCAAGTTGATTGAACAAATCAATGATTACATGAGTCAGAACGTTCAATTAAACAAATATAAAATTAACAAAATTCAATTAATCTTCAATCAGCAATGTTAAAAAACATGGAAAAGACCAGAAATACAGGAGTAGTCATGGACTCTGACCTAAATGTCATTGGTCATGTTAAGACATTTACAAAGTCAGCCTGTCTTATGCTACTTTTACTATTGTAGCAGTGCCTTGCAGATCTCAGAAAAATCGAACTGACAGCTGCAGCTGATTCAGAACGCTGCTGCTCGGGTCCTAACAAACACAATAGAAGTGGAACACATCACTTCAGTTTTTTAGATCTTGACAATGGGGTCAAAATACTATTGTTGGTTTTTAAAGCACTGCATGGTTTGGTGCTTAAATACATGTCGAATCTTCTGCTACATTATGAACCATTCAGAATGTTCAGGTATCTGGGTCAGTTTTGCTTTCAACAATTCAAAGTACTTTACAAAAATGAAAACATTACGATCATTAAGAAATAATGCAGAATGGCATTCAAAACATTAATAAAAAACCAAATAGAATACAATTAACATCAAACAAGCCAATATATGAAAAACATTAAAAGCATTAAGAAATTATTTGTTCCCACACATTAATCCGGCTTGCTATTCTTGGACCCCATCTGTAGTAACTTAAGTGATTCTGGTAGAGAGGGAGGGAGTGGCTCAGCTGGAGACCAGACATCTGATCAGAATCAGGTGTAGCCCTGGCTAAGATCATTTACACAACAGGATGTGAACAAGTTTATCATTTTTTAAGAGAGGGTTAAAATGTATAATTATTAGGGCTGTCAGTCGATTAAAATATTTAATCGCGATTAATCGCATGATTGTCCATAGTTAATCGCGATTAATCGCAAATTAATCGCACATTTTTTATCTGTTCTAAATGTACCTTAGAGGGATATTTTTCAAGTTTTTAATACTGTTATCAACATATGAGTGGACAAATATGCTTTATATGTTTGTTTATTATCATTTGAACAATGACAAATATTCTCATGAATATTAAACACAACAACCTGAACATTACAAATATTCGCCTCAATTCAACCTGGAACCTCTCTCATACAATAATACAATACAAAGTGTGTGTGTGTGTGTGTGTGTGTGTGTGTGTGTGTGTGTGTGTGTGTGTGTGTGTGTGTGTGTGTGTGTGTGTGGGAATGTGGTGACACTGTGATGGATCGTTGGAGCTATGTGCAGCTCAAGGCATATATGCTCGAACGGGAGCTGCCTGGACGCTGCAATCATGTTGCGCGCACTATCCGTGCTGAGTGTGCTGACTTTTCGTACAATGTCCCACTGTCTGGCTACCTGCATAAAGTCAAGTGCTCGGCGCAGTTGTCGGCGAAATGTCGCTCCTCTGTTTTCATTGAAACAGCTCCTTATATCTGTTAGCGCAGCTAGCTAGCACCAGATGCTAACAACAACAACAACACGTAAGGTGTGCCTTGCTCGCCCCACACATACACACACCCTCCCGGTCCTCCCGATGGCCAGTCCGGGCCTGCCGGGGAGCGTGGAAGTGCGGTCTGCCACAAGCGGGCGGCAGGAGCGGGGCTGTCAGCATCAGCTTGTAGATGGTATTTTAAACTCGATGCGCTCTGAAACTACGGGGCGGCCGAGGACAAAAAATACACATGCGTTAATCGCGTTATTAACGCGTGGCTGCTGGTGTGGCAGCCCAGGGTGATGAGGGAGGGGTAAATGTTGTCAGATTGAGGAAAAAATTCACCAGGAGAGTCTTCTTGACTAATGGAATGAATTCTGGGGGTTGGAGCTTAGACTTTTAAGGACCACCCTACGTGAGGCTAAACTTCAAGGTTGATGGGGGAGGGGTAAATGTTGTTGGAATTTGAATACAATTCACCA